GGCTAGGTTGCACTTTCTGCTTTGTCTTTCAATCTTTCTCTTAAAGCAGCATTGTTTTTATACAGGGGCTTCAGAAACAGAAGTAAAAAAAAAAAAAAAAAGCTATACTCTTCTGAGCACATCTAAACCTATGGCAGTACTTGTATTATGATTTGAATGGTGGAAATCATTGGAAAGGCAAAACTATTAATCAATAACAAATTTTGATCTTGACTCATAAGACGATGACTGAATTTACACTACAATTTTTTATGTTTTTGAAAGAAGATTCTAATGCTCGCCAAGGCTGCATTTATTTGGTTGAAAAAAAAATACAGTAAAAATAGTAATATTATGAAATATTATTACAATTTAAACTGTTTTCTATGCTAATATATTTTAAATGTTTTTTTTTTTTCTGTGATGGTAAAACTGAATTTTCAGCATCCATTATTCCAGTTTTCAGTGTCACACGCTCCTTCAGAAACCATTCTAATATGCAGAATTGGAGATTAAGAAACATTGCTTATCAGTGTTGAAGACTGTCATACTTTTTTTCAGGATTGCTTGATGAATAGGGTTCAAAACATTTCTTTTATTGATTGATTTATTTAAGCATTTATTACAAACTGAAATTTTTTGTAACTTCTTTTTGTAACATCTTTACTGTCACTTTTATTCATTTTAATGCATTCTTGCTGAATAAAAGCATAAATGACTTTAAAAAAAAATCTTAATAACCACAAACTTTTGAACGGTGGTGTATATATTTAGGTAAACTAATTTACTTTTTAATTTAAAATTAGACGAAAGCAATTCTACTTTTATTGGCCGGCAAACATATACTGGTTGTTTCAGACAGGTCAGAGTGCTTTAAAAAAAAAACTAGTATTTTCACGAAACACAATCTATGAAAGACTTAATTGCCTTTTATTTTAAGATGGAGTAGGTGAAATTATTTTAACATTGAAAAATGACACAATCGCATTTAAATTCAGCTGATCGGATGCCCAGGCAGGCTGATGTCATTAGCACCACAGTAGCAGAGTCAGCTGAGCTGGCATTAGAGAACAACACTACTGCCAGACAACAATTGATTGAGCTCATTTGGGAAAGTCTCCTTTGCGTACATGAGAAGCACACACACACACTTATGTGTCAGGAGACTGGGAAAGGAAAGGTCATTGTGAGAGCTGGGATGCTTTTAAATGATGATTCATCACTCTTTCTATTTGCATAGAAGAGCATCCATTGCCAAATTTCCATTCGGCTTTGCTGACCTTGCCACTTTCACATGCCTTCGCATGTCATAGGGGAGGACCCAATGGACCTTTTTCACATTTCCGGGTTTCTCAGCAGCGGATGTTGTCATAGTTGGGTTAACTTGAAGAGCAGTGAATGGGAGAGTACCACGAATATATTTCTTGCATTCCCATTTGCTCAAATAGCAAAAGAAAAACTCCACGATAGTGTTTTCATGACTTTCAATAAAAGGGAAAAAAATAGAGAGAGACTGATAATGGCAGTCAGAAGAGAGAACGATGTCAAATTTACCGTCCCTCCCATAGACGCTGCATTAGAAACACCCTCGCATTAGCGTTAACTGTTTTTTTTTTTGTAATTTGATGCAAAGGTGATATAATACAAAGAATAGTGTTAAAAATGTAGATACATTTTTTTAAAAATACAAATATGAAAAACTTTCGAGGATTTACGATGCTGATGACCGTTAAAAGCGTCATCACAGTCTTGTGAAAAGGGTCCATTACACAGGAGACATCCCATTCAAACACAAGTCTGTAACATCCAAAAAACTGGGTTTCAGCTGGGTTTCTTATGTATTATAGTAGCAAGTCTTAGTCCTGATCAATGATACTGACCTTTGATTATCTCCATGACCTCTAGATGTGTCTGATTTATAACCTGGTGTCCCAACCAGGCATAATGAGAAGAGACACTACATTTTGTGAATAAAATAAAATAAAATAAAATAAAATAAAAAGTTAAAAAATACATAAATAAATGAATACTTTTTCTGTTCATGAATCACTCTAAGCATACAAATACCAGAAGTCAGAGAATGTTGTACAATTAGGATATTTTGCGATAGAACCGTGTTTATATGCATATCATTTTACAATTAAGGTCCACATTCTGATCAAGTACTCATCCTTAAAAGGAAAAAAAAACATGCTGTTATATTCTGGAAATACAGTACCACATGCTGTTTATTTATTTTATTTATTGCTATTTATTTATATTATTTATAATTCATTTTTTAGCAATTCTGCTCAGTAATTTAGTCAAATAATTAATTCACAACACTCCAGAGTGAAATGAAAAGGAAAATTGAATAATTTTTTTTGTATATTGACTTATTTTCATTTCTTATCATGTTCATTTTGCTTAAAAATGTTTCGAAAGTTAGATTTTTCACAATGTGTGTCACAATTCTGTGTCGTTAAGCGCTTGTTATTAATTTGTTTGAAAACAAGTAGATTACGGTTTGCATACAGTATATCTTACAGGGATAATTTGTCTAAAATGAAATGTCTGCCATGATTTACTCACTCTCATGTCATTACAAATCTGTATGACTTTCTTATGTGGAACACAAAAGAAGATATTTAGAAGAATGTTGGGGTCCAAACAGAAAAACACCCAAACCTTTATTTAAAATTCCTTCTTTTATGTTTAACAGAAGAAAGAAAGTCATATAGGTTTGGAATGACATGACGGTGTGTAAATGATGACAGAATATTTATTTCCGAGTGAATCCCTTTAACCTGAATATGCATGTACATAGTGATTATTAGAAAGAGCTCAACTGTAACTGGATTTTAGCAATAATAATGTAAACATGAGAAGAGATGGAGTAGATGGGAAGCCTCAGAACAGCACAGTGACCAGCACACTATCTGTACCCCGTCCCGTGACCCGTCCCTCGCACTAATCAGCCAGTTTCATCATTTTAATTAAAACTCTATTCAGCACAGCTCCAGAGTTTACATTATATTCTGAGGTTAGTTAAAGGTGGGGTAAGCGATTTTTCAAAAACGCTTTAGAAAAAAAAGCCCGAATAGGATAACCTGAGCGCATTTAATAGCAGATACAATCGTCTTTAAAAGTGAATTTCTGCTTCTCAACCTGGAATAATTATTCCTTTGAATATTTGCCTCACAAAATAAAGACGGAACAATTTATAAGTCATCACATTCCTGCTGTTCTAATCACAAGTACTATTATAAGGATTATAACCTAATAAAACTAATATTTTATCATATTGGCTACTTCCATTGCTAGGGAAATATTTTCTTGCTTTTTTGATGAGACAGAGAAATATAGCTTAAAAAATTGCCAGCTCAGTGTAATAGTTAATGGGATAGTTCACCTAAAAATGAAAATTCTGTTATCATTTATTCACCCTCATGTCATTCCAAACCTGCAGTATATGAGTTTGTCCATATAAACATATTAAACTTTATTCTCAACAGGAAGCCATTGGTACGATATGACTTTGCCTGGGTTATTTTATAATTTATACTATCTTAGTTTTACTACAGCTGCATATATAAAGAGTGTGGAAGAGACCAAAACAGATCAAAAGCTAACTTTGAAGTTATGCTCAGAAGTTAAAAAAAGTGAATAAAATCAATATAAAAAATAAGTAAATAAACGACTAAAACAAATATATAAGTAACACATAACATATTTAGAAAAAAATAATATTACTTGAGGCAAGGGAAATAAAATGGCCAGAGTAGCAGCTAAACTAACCTGGATCTTTTGAATATTCGCATGTATTTTTACGTAAAGTGTGGTTTACTTATGTTTGTAGAGACACTGAAATGTACAATACAGACATATTGACAGCAACTAAAACGTAAATTATTTACGAATGAACAACTTTTCAGAGGTACAAATGTGCACAAATCCTCATTTATGAATACTGAAATCATGGCATTAATATTTTGATTCAAATGTATTCAATTCTCATATCAATGATATTATGTTTTCAATTAGATCTATTAAAGGCAGAGTAAGCGATTTCTGGTAGCCAATGTTGATATTTGAAATCACCAAAACAAACACGCCCCTACCCCAAAAGGGTCTTGCCCCTATTTTGATAGCTCCGCCCCATATATACGTACGCAACCCAGGCAACGATTGGTTCTGTGAAACAAAGCAAAACCAATGTTATACCGTGTCTACGAACGTGAGCAGCTCGGCGCAACAAATCCCCGACAGAAAGCTGCTGCCGGGTTCTATTTATGACGTGCTGACATACATTTCAAATGGTTTTCAACGGTCGTTTGATCGCGTCCGGTGTAGGCAGACTTTAGCTGTTGTAGACACGGTGTTATGCACCTCTTGAGAAGAAACAAAGCAACCTCGGCGTCCGATCGCAGGCCTCCGCTCCTTGAGTTCTCTCCAGCGCTGGAAAGCTGATCCGATATTTACACGGGTCCTACTTCTTGCCTTATCGTTCCGCAGACGTTTTCCTCTTTTGTTTTTTTATCCGCCATCTCTATCTTTCTGTCGCTCAGCTCGGCTAATGTCCATCCCATGCACTGAAAGCTCTCTCCTCCACATCACGAGTAGACACGCCCCTTATTGCTGATTGGCTACAAATTTGTTTTGCTATTCGGCCCGAATCAGTTTTCTAAAGTGTTTTTGAAAAATCACATACCCTGCCTTTAAACGCAGGTTACTCATTTCCTTAATATGAAATTATAACATTTTGTTAGTTTCTCTGTGACTTCTGCTTCCATCTTGTTTTTCGATAGATTCTATAACGTTAAACAAGACTACACTTTAAAACCTTAAAATTAATACCATGATAAATAGCATGATACATAACAAGATAAATAACATTTCTGTCAACTTAATGTTCATGCGTTTCCAGTATAATCATTTCGGATTATAATGGGAAACTTGTTAGAATACTTTAAACATTTACACAAAAAAAATCACTGAAGCAGATCAATTATTTGTATGCATGCATGAAAACACACACTGACCTGTACTCCAGCGAGAACCGTGTGATCTCTGTGTCATTGTGGATCCATTTAAACTCCAATGGCCAGCTCCCCTCGGCCATACAAGTCAGAACCAATCGGTTCCTTTCCAAGTGCAACTGACTCGGTACCGGCTCTGTTTTAAAGTATGGAGGAACGTCATCTGCAGAAAGACACAAAGAAAGAGAGAATGTAAGGAAGAGGGAATTGTTTATTTGATCTGCACCACGTAAACATGATCAGCTAATGCTCACAGACTCTTGCTGTATCGCGGCCTCAGCCTGCTGCTGGTATTTGCTTATTGAATTTTAAACATGGCCTGTAGTCTTGTGTGGAGTTCAATAAACCAAAAGCACTCCAGACTGAATAAGAATATATATAAACTCAAATATTAGTACAAAAAAAATTGAATTGCAAGAAAATAGAATAAAACATAATTTTGCATATTCAAAATAAAGATTTAAATTAATTTTATTTTTAATTTAATGTATTTATTTATGTACATATTTATTTATTTATTTTTTGATATACAGTTTAAGTAAAACATTTTGGGTGGTGCTTTCTTCAGATTTCTTCAGATTTTAGCACAACCATCCTTATTAATTCTAATCACGTCTCTATGTGTAAGGTCGTTTTGTAACACACAGCACAGTCACGTCCGGTCATTTAAAGTGGGTCTGTGCACTCATTCACATCTAAGTATTCGTTCCTCCAATGGAAAGATGCTTGGAGCAGATGGAGCTGATATCCCATTCCTGTAGGACGAATATCAGGAGAGCTACTCCAACACGCAGAGCCAGCGACTACAATTTCGATTCTGATCCTAATCATCGGTGTAAATATAGACCAAATTAATTGAACGGTTGGATAATACAATTATAAGATTGAATGATAATCAAACATTAAAATTAAACTGTCAGAATGATCCATTAGGCAGACGGTTTGCGGTATCTCTCTGGTTTCACTAATCCAAGTTTTAGCTCCTCGATTGAGAACAAAAGCAATAGAGAAATGAATACAGATTTTGCATATTTCTATTATGTTCTTCACTGTTGAGTAGATATGTATGAATAGATAGATAGATAGATAGATAGATGATAGATAGATTAGGATTAGGATTCAACTACTGTAAAATCTTACATAGCCTACTGCAAGAGTGTTAAAGATGCAGGAGCCAGTTAGAGGAAGACACAGGCTAGACGAGGAGGAGGAGGGGCATTAATGTGATGCATGGTTTGGGATATTCACAAAGTTTTATGAAAATGAGGTGGAAGGATTCGCGCATGAGAGATTTGATTAGACGGGTGAGGCTAATTGTTCCCAAGCGCTTCGAACTCCACTTTTATCTCTGATAGAGAGATAAAGATGCAGACAGCGAGAAAGAGAGAGAGACCGAGAACGAACGATACAGTTAAAACAGGCAGAAGACATTGATCATCGATGAGTATCAGGGCTTGCGTTTCTCCCTCTCATTAGAGAACAAATGATCTGGTCGACTAAAAGCCTTAATGATCCGCCAATGGAGCTAACAAACACCCTGATGGGCCTCCAAGGGGCCACGTGGAGCAGAGATACAACAGTAAGATCACAGTCTCTATTACTGATGCAGTAAATGGCAGAAAAGAGGGGATAATGCCCTTACATGAACGAGCCAGTAACAAGTGCTCTGGGACCAAATTGTGTAAATTGTACAGGAGCTTATGGGATGCATATCTTAACTGACAGATACCAAAGAGACAGTGGGTGGAAAGAGGCCTTTGAAAAAAAGTAGTCAGATTACCACTGCAAGTCTTGAGAGAAAAACTACCTTAATAGGCGCTGGCGTTAGATGTAAATGGTGAAAAGCTGTAAATTCTAGAAATTGTTTTAAAAAAGCCTGTCGGAGGGGTTCGAGACAGGAGGTTGTATGCTCTCAGAAAATACACTGCAATTATGGTGTCTTTGCTTCTCCTGTGCTTGTTATCGTGAGTGTGCAGAAGAACGAAAGGGGTCAGACGGGGTTTCCCAGGGGGCTGCGGTAGTTGTTTTGGCGACAGGTTGTCGAGGAGCCAAAAGAGGTCTGGTGGCTGGTGTCACAAAAGGCCCGGCACAAGCGTTATGTGGAGAATTACACTTCTTAACTCATTAACGAGTATCTCACACACACATATGCGCGTACGCGCTACCCAGGGGTTAACATCCATAATTAAACCCAAGCTATGTGGTTTCTATTAAAAGTACGGGCACCTTTGCTCATCTCTCTCGCTTTCTCTCATAATGAGCGATTATGCGTCTGACTCATTAAAGAGAACCGAGGTGTGATGTGCTTGCAAACACACAGACACAAACAAATATACAAACATGCAAATTATTATGCAATAAAGCAGGTAGATTCACTGTATTTAGCTAATCATGAAACAAGAATCTAAGGATGTTTCTTTGCCTAAACCCAAGTTCAGTGGTTTCATTGCACATTGTATTTTTGGATCTGAACCATGAGAACTAATGGCAACCGTTTACTACTGTAGCAAGGTAACAGCTCCAGTTTTACTGTATTATTGAAGTATTTGCTCTAGTTTCTCCATTTTTAGATAAATATCAACAGCTGATAACCATGTACGCTTTGCAGAAATTGTCGCATTCTGCAGCGGGTGTGCCCAGGAGGGCCACCAAATGACTGTGTTCTGTGAGCACATGGCTTGTGTTGTGTTTGTCTGTCGCCATGTGCTCTCTCCTGTCTTATTGTCTTGCCCCTCCCATCTTGTTACCTCGTTATTGTTTTAGTTGCTCCACCTGTGTCTCCCTCGTTTGGTTCCTATTTATTCTCCTGGTGTCTGTCATCCTGTGCTGATCCGTCATTTTTCATTGTGTGTTTCGTGTCTGCATGTGTGCAGCTTTAGGCCTGCCTGTCTGTTTTTCCCCTTCGGGGTGGTTTGAGTTTGTTTTGGTTTCATTTTTATTATTAAAATAAACAACCAATTCTCCTGCACCTGAGTCCTCGCTTCATCTCCCCGCACGCACCGTGACAGAAATGTTAACTGTATATTTTGTCTTTTCAGAAATCTATCAACAAGTCTTGTCAACTGATAATAAACAACTTCTGTTTTATTTTTTTAAATAAATATTAAATTATTAAAGTGCATTGTGTAAAATTGTAAAAGATAAAACATTATTTAAAATGTAAAAATACAGAAATTAATAAAATAATGGTAAAGCAATTTTGTGTGCTTCTCATTTGCTGTTAAATTTATTATTTACACTACCATTCAAAAGTTTTGGGTCAGTACGTTTTTTATTTTATTTGTATTAATTAATACTTTCATTCAGTAACGACACATTACATTTATCAAAAGTGTCCATAAAACATTTACAATGTTACATAAGATTTCTGTTTCAAATAAATGCTGTTCTTCTATCCATCAAATAATCTTTTTCCACAAAAATATTGAGCAGCACAACAGTTTTCTAATGTTTCTTGCGCACCAGATTTCTGAAGGATCATGTGACACTGAAGATGCTGAAAATTCAGCTTTGTCATCACAAAAATACATCACATTTTAAAATATTCAAGTAGAAAACTGTAATGTTGTGAAATATTATTATAATTAAAATATCAGTTTTCTATTTGAATATTTTAAAATGTGATGCATTTTTGTGATGGCAAAGCTGAATTTTCAGGATGTTTCCAAGACACTGAAGCCTGGAATCGAAATACAGAAATCTAAGTATGAATTCCAATAACAAATGTCCACATTAAATTTGTAGCTCTATACTTTTACTGGTTGTTTCTGTTTTATTTATCCTACAGAATTTTGGCAGAAACATCTGAGATACTTAAATAATGGAAAGCTCAATTAGGTTGTCTGTCCAATGAAAGAGCAACCCACTGAGCAATAAAACTTAGCTCTAGTTGTGCGTACGTGAATGCTGGCCTTGCACTGAGTGTCTCTGGGAAGAGGTTAGAGACTGTCATGGTGCCACACACATACAGGCTAAATCAAGACAAACAGCAGTTCAGCAATGACTCTGCCCTGATGACATGGTGGTTGAAGATGTGTGGGGAACTGGGTCAGAGATGGAGTCTGTAAAAATATAGTCTTGTTTGCTATTGTTCATTTTAGTGTATTTAATTTTATATAGTATTTTACCTTCTAAATGCATGCTTTAGGTGTACAGTATTTGTTTGCATGTCCAACTGACTTCATCCACCTGTCATTCCCTGCTTCTCTGTGTGTGTGTGTGTGTGTATGTGTGTACACATTGTCCTCAGGCTCCACAGACTATATGAATGAATGATGCATTTATATAGCGCTTTGTTGTGTATTTTTGTACACCCAAAGCGCTTTACA